AAGAACCACTACAAATTGCAATGGAGCTATTAACTGATTTAAATTTAAATAGTAGAATTACTTTTGCTAAACGTAAAAAGGTAAAGGTAGATCAGCTGGCCGCCCACTTCTTTTAAAATTCGAGAATGATTTGAGTGTATTGGAGCTGTTAAAAACTAAATCTAAATTGCGATTAATTGAAAAGTGGAAGAATGTTTGGTTAAGTCCTGATCTCACAAGATCTCAACAAAATACTATGAAATCATTACGTGAGGAGTTGCGCCATAGACGTGATGCTGGAGAAAAAAATTTGGTAATAAAATATGTCCAAGGAGTTCCAAAAATCAGTTCAAAAAACTAAATTCACTTTCGTTCGATAATCATCATAAAAGTAACTACTTTTGTACTCATTGTAAAATAATTAATAAAAACTGTGTATATAATAATAGTTGTAAGAATTTTGCAAACTTTACTCTTAGTGGATTTTATCAAAATGTTAGAGGTCTACGAACTAAAATTAAATTCTTAAAATGTAATATCCCACTTATAAATGTAGATTATTTCATGTTGACGGAGTCATGGTTAAATACAGATATATTAGATTCTGAATTAAGCTTTAGAGATTACAATGTGTTTAGAACCGATCGCAGCGTTTCTACTAGTTCATATTTGCGTGGTGGTGGCGTAATAATTTGTGTTCATAAGAAATTTAATTCTAAACAGGTTTTCACTCATATTACTAGTGTTGAACAACTATTTGTACTGGTGGAGGTTGGTGATAACAATAAGTTTTTGTTAGGTACCTGCTATATACCGCCAATGAGCCTATTTAGTACATATGTAGCTCACACTGAGACAGTTGATTATTTGTGCTCATTATTTACCAACACACAAATTATTTTAACTGGAGACTATAATTTACCAAATGTTAAGTTTTATAATGATGACCTTGGTATGGTATATTTAGGTAATTATTCACAAAATTCTGATATTATTTTTGAGCAATTTTCACATTTAAATTTTTATCAAGTAAATGAAGTTGAAAATGATTCTGGAAGGACATTAGATTTAGTATTTGTATCAAATAATTCTATTTGTGTTAAAAAAAGTGAAGATAATTTAGTTCCTGTTGATAGTTTTCACACAGCACTTTACATTAGCTCTGACATTACTATAAGACCTAGTCGGTCAGTAGCTATTAATAAAAAATTTAACTTTAAAAATGTAGATTATGTTTTATTAAATAAATTGTTAAATAATTTAAATTGGTCTTACTTGTATGAATGCAATAATATAAATTTCGCTGTCGATAGGTTTTATGAATTGATTTTTTCAGTTATTGAAAAATCAGTTCCAAAAACCTCACCGAGTAAATCGTCGTTCCCAAACTGGTTTTCTAAAGAATTAATATCCTTAATTCGTAAAAAAAATAAATTACACAAGAAATTTAAACAAAAAGCTTCTTTATCTATTTATGAAGAATTTTCTGTAGTTAAATTTAAGTGCAAAAAGCTTTCGAAAATTTGTTATTCTAACTATTTAAATGATATTCAAAAAAACTTAAAAACCAATCCTAAATTTTTTTGGTCCTACGTAAAAAATTGTAAAAAGGTAAATTGTCTTCCTTCTACCTTGGAGCTAGATAATTTTCATTCAGATAATATTAATAACATTGTTAATATGTTTGGCCAATTTTTTGGTTCTGTTTATTCAAATTCTAGTAATATTACAAATGGGTCTTTTAGTAACATATCTGAACGCATTGATATAAAGAATTGTTATCTCTCAATAACTGAAGTTTTTGAGGGTCTATCGAATTTGAATATGAATATGACCGTGGGTCCGGACTTTGTTCCTGAGATTTTTCTCAAAAACTACCGTTACTCCCTTACTCATCCAATCCATTTTCTTTTATCTTTATCTTTATCATCTGGTATTTTTCCTACGACTTGGAAAACCAGTTATGTTTACCCTATTTTTAAGTCTGGGACAAGATCTAACATACGTAATTACAGACCTATAACTAAAATGAGTATTATACCGAAATTATTTGAAAAGTTGTTAGTACCAAAATTGTATTACACTTTTAGCTCAATATTGGTAAACAATCAACATGGATTTAGAACTTCTAAATCTACAGTTACTAATTTACTTGTCTACTATTCTGATTTAATGTCTATTATTTCTAAAGGTGGTCAGGTAGACGCTATCTACACTGACCTTAAAAAAGCGTTTGATAGTATTAATCATTCTATATTAATAAGTAAATTAAGTGCTATGGGAGTCGGTAACCCTATGATAGATTGGTTTTCGTCTTATCTCAGTGGCAGAAAACAAATAGTCAAAATTGGTGATGTAACGTCTTTTACTATTGATGCTACATCTGGTGTACCCCAAGGTGGGCATTTGTCACCTCTTTTGTTTATAATTTTTATAAATGATCTTAGTAATGTTTTCAATCACTGTAAATGTTTATTATTTGCGGATGATTTAAAGTTATACTTACAAATTAACTCACCTTTTTTGTGACTTTTTTAAATTACAATCAGATCTAGATACATTTATATTATGGTGTTTTGAAAATGGTTTACAAATAAATAGTGACAAATGCTCACAAATCACATTTAGTAGAGCTAAATCTTTTTACAATTATCAATATGTAATTAATGGTTTTAACCTTTCTATAGTTAATCACATAAAAGATTTAGGCGTTTTTTTGTCTTGTGATTTATCTTTTTCGAAACATATTAGCTATATTTACAATAAAGCGTCGCGTACAGTAGGATTCATAAGACGTAATTGCAATGAATTTCATGATATTGATTGTTTAAAAACTTTATACTTTTCTCTTGTAAGATCTGGCCTGGAGTACGGTTCTATTATTTGGTCCCCATTTATAGCTAACGATATTAAAAAGATTGAATCTATTCAAAAACTTTTCTTAACCTCTTTATCGGGCAAATTTAATAACAATAGGATTAACCAAAAGATTTTTTTTAATAATTTGAAAATGGACTCTTTATTATGTAGAAGACAATATTTAGATGTAAAGTGGATGTATAATTTACTCAATAACAAAATCGATTGTCCCGAAATTTTAGAAAAGATACCATTTAATGTTCCTTAAGTATTTCTTCGTAATAATTCTATGTTTTATATACCTACCCTCACGCAGAACTATTGTAAAAATTCGCCAGTTAATCGCATGCTAAACTTATGTAATTCATTAAAAAATTTTGATTTTAATCATGATTCGTCAACATTATTATTGTCAACATGTATTACTTTCAAAGAATAATCTTTCAAATGTTTACTTTATATTTATTTACATTCATTTTGTATTTTTTTTTAGTTTAATATTTATAACTTTAAAGTTTTAAGTTTTATAGTTTGTTATTATTTGTATTGATTTGTATTATTTCTGTACTGTCTGCCCTAATGGGCGTAATCATAATCATTTTGAATGATGAAATAAATAAATAAATAAAATGTTCGTAATATAAGGTTAACTTAAGACAGTGCTCGAGGGACTGTGAGAACAACAAAATACAATGTAAAAACAAAAAAACAGTCGTAAGACGACGTACAGCGAGAGAATAATATGAAACAAAAACGTAACGGCTAAGCGTCCGATGAGTGGAGAGTTATCACCAGCTGATACGACTATCAATATGACCAACTTAAGCGTTAACCCGAACAGTGTCTTTTACCTAAAAATAGTTCTGTAGTTTAACTTAAAATTAATTCGTGTTAGAATAATTATTTAAATCACTTAATAAGGGTTTGCTATAGTAATGAGTATATCAATAAATATAAAATTTACATGAATCTAATTCACATTAAATATAAATTTACACTTATTTTGATTGTTTTGCCTCTTTAAGTTACTAAAATCTTTTTTGAATTTTTGTAAACTTAAAAATTTGTATGAAAAGTAGAACTTCTTCCATTTAACTTTTGAAGATATTCCGGGAAATTTGCGTTTTTTAAATATATGTTAAAATAAAGCTTATTTTATGTACTAGCTAAAATTTGTACGGACAACCTACTTTCTAAATGCAAATTACAGTTGAAGTAGAACAAAAAACAGGAGTTATATTTGCTATTGGAATAATTTACCAATTACTTAAAATTAAATATTACCTATGGATTTCGATCAAATCGTTTCTTATAATATTATAATATTATAATATCTTATAATCTTCGTTTCTTATAATCAAGTGTCTTGCACTTATTCTGCACTTCATACTCTGATATCTTCCTCACCTGGTACGCCTAGTATTTGTGTTTTGCACTTCGTCTACACCTCATACCTAGGTGTTACCCTTATCCCTTCCTATAACAACAGCCTTTCGACACCCACAAATAACTCAGAGTGTCAACCGAGCACGGTGACTGCTGTACGATAACATGCACGTGAATACCTAGACAGTAGGCTCATCCTTTACTTTCTGTTTTGTGTTACGACAATTTATACTTCCCAACTTTGCCACGACCCCTCTGTACTATCGTTTTTTGTTATGAAAATTCAATAAAAAACCTAAGTACAGCAAAGGTTTGAAAATGACCACTTATGTAGGAAAAAAATTATTTTTTCAATTCAATTTCTGAAAATATTCTGGAAAGTCAGACGATTTGAATTATATATTAAATTTAAGTTTTTTTTAATGATCTTTATTATTAATAAAATAATATCAACGATTGTTCTACAACAAGAAAGACGCCATTAAAGTTAAAAAATCAAAATTTTTTAAATAAAAAAAAACCTCATTTTCAATGAAGCAAATTATTTAACAATCATTTAATATTTAAGTGAAATTTATCGAGTTTTTTAAAAAAACTCTATATACTGTCTATATTTGTTATAGATTTATTTTTTAATAATATTTGGGGGAATAATGAAGATTATGACTGATTTCATGAGGATATATCCATATGCATTAAAACATAGAAAATGTAAAACTATATTTTAGGTTAGATAATGTAGAACTATATTAAAATTTAAATTATGTACCATTTAGACATATTACGTGTCTAACCAACCAAGTGGAGAGTGGATTGAATTACCTCTTCTAAAACCTCATCATGTTGTACAATCTCGAAACATTAAACGATATTTTACTGGTAATTTGGAGACGCCGGTAAATATTATTTATTTTTATAATTTAGTAAAAATATTTCTTGATAAACATGATTTACGCAGATTAATTGTTATCCTGAGTTTGACGGACTTGAAAAACATTATCTTCGAGCTCAAATAGCAAGGATATCGGCTGCTACACAAATTTCACCGATTGGATTTTTTATTCATAATAAAAGTGAACTAACACCAAATATTTTAACATCATTACTCAAAAAAGCACACTCCGTATATCATCAAAGAATTTTGTTTAAGTGTAAGTATTAATTAAAAAAAATTTAAAACACTGATGTTTTGAAAAGCCAACTACACTTTTAATGTGTAAAGCGGGGTAAGATGGCAAGGTTAAGCTTCTACGATTTTTTCTGACTTCTGCGAATGGATATAAATTTTGAAATTTGCATTAGAATTACTTCTATATATAGCCTATCACTACAAATTTTTTCAAACGCCCCTCACATCTTCTTAAGAGTGAAATATGAGTTTTCCTGAAAATTGTCATTTTCGTCATTTTTCTCCACCTATTGGGTAGGATGACGAATGGATCGGGGTAAAACGACGAACAATACTTGAGATAAAATAAAATTATAAATATAATATAAAAATAATTATTCATCATAAAAATAACTTAAATAACTTTTTACCGACATAAAACATATTATGTTAAAACATTAAGTATCAAAAACAAAACTTAAACAATAACTTCATAAAATATTTCGACTTTCTTAACATAAAAATTAATATTAATAGAAACTTTAAATTAAGTAATCACATTGTTAATTGGTTAATATGATTACTGATTGTGAAAAACCAATTTACGCTTCATTTCTTTTTTGAGCCCTTTGTTTTTTGTTTGCTTTTTTAATTAATCTTTTGTCTCTTCAGCTCTTTTTTTTCTTGCTCCTTTTTTTTTCATTTCAAGCACTTCTTTTACTGGAGTTCGCGATAAGTTCAATGATAGTAATTTTTTCCTTGACTTTCTGACAGTTTTTTTAATTGTAACTGGAAGTGGAGGATGAGTTGAAGAAGAAGACGGTATCGGATCCATAGATTGGGAGCATATATGCTGACGCTGAAGGTTGGAATCATTAATAGAAGTTGGAGTTGTAGTTTGTATATCAGTGGCTAATGATTATTGAAATTCTTTATTTGTAAAATTATTACTGTCAAAAGACTCAATACCCGTCGCTTTGAAAGGATTAACAGTAGTGCAAAGAGTAGCAACTTTGTGATAAGTGTTACAAAATATCTTAGGAATATGTGTTATGCAGTGCAAATGGCTTTAATGGTTATATGAGAGGCATGGTTGTCTACGAGACGCAGAAGTGGATGTGTAATACTTGGGTGAGCATGCGATGCAAAATGTTTTAAATAGTTAACAAAATTAGTTGCTGTCATCCATCCTGAAATAATAGTTTTTTTATACCTCCCTAAATTTCAAGGAAAATCCACATCATTTTCTTTTCCCTCTGAAATATGAACTCATTTTTTAAAATATATTCTTAAAATAGACTCGGGTATATTATATTTTTTTGCAGCTGCGTTCAGACTTAAATCATTGCCTGCGACATCTGATATAGCAAACATCATGTCTTTATCTTCCCAACTTTTCCTCTCACTTGTTCTTACATATTGCCGTGGCATATTAGTACTTAATTGACGTTACAATCAAAAGCAAGTGTGAATTTATGACCAATATTAAATTATAAATTAATTTGAAAAATTCTATTAGTTGATATTTATTACACTATCATATTATACATTTTTATAATAATATTAATAATACTAATAATAATAATAGCTGTCGCTTGTTTGCTAATAAATTTCTCCTAAAATCTCTCTCCACCCCTAACCATAATATCTTCTCCTTATACTCCGAATTAAGTAATTGCTGGCGCTACGTGCCTAAATCACTTCCAATTTTAGCCTCAGTATGCTTTTCTCTGTCACCCATGGTCTGTCACATTTACAAATCACACTCCAGATTACCTTTATTTGACTGTCCTCTAGTGGCTCTTACAATAGCTCCCATAGTGTATACTTCAATCCTCCGTTCTCTTCCTGCAACTTCCGTTAATAATCTCTTCAAAGATTATACCTCAGCTAATTTTCCGACTAAATGCTTGATATTCACAGATAGTTCTGTATCAACTAACTCGGCTGGTTGTTCTTTCTTTATTCCTGAACTTAATATTTCATACTCAGCTGCACTCCACCCTTCTTCTTCTTCTTTTACCACTGAATGCCTTGCCATCGTTAATGCTCTCATTTTTATATCTTCTACTTCAATTAATGAATTTGCTATTTTTTCTGATTCTCTATCTTGCCTACTTGCCCTCATTTCTAATCCATTTTGCTCTCATCATTCTCCTTACATTCTTATTATTAGATCACTTATCTCCTTAATTCGATCCCAAAATAAATCTATTGTTTTTCACTGGATGCCGGGCCACGCCAGTATATTAGGTAACGTAAAAGCTGACCGTCTTGCTACTTCTACTTCCCCCTTCTTTACTTTTTCTAGCCATAATATTCCCGCTTCTGACTTTTTCCGCCTCTTTCGACATACAGTTCTTCAAGCCTGGCAGGACAGTTGGGCTACAATAAAATTGAAAACGGTATGTTAGTACCGCTCGATTTCTCTATTCCATTATACATTCTCCATGGTTTTATAACCTTGACTTATCCAGAAATATAATTTCTCAGTACTCAAGACTTAGGTTAGAGCATAATCTTCTGCCTAACCATGCATTTGATCTTTCCTTAAATTCCGTTCCCTTCTGTCCCCTACATGATAATGAAGCTCTATGCGATTTTTCTCATCTTCTCTTTGATTGTCCTGCGCTAATTAACAGCAGAAATAAACTATTCAGCCTCTTAGCCTCCCACAATATTAATCCCCCTTCCGTAGCTAATACTCTTAATTCCCGTTCTTCCTTTATTATTATTTCAATCATATCTTTCTTGAGGAGTTCCGGCTTTGTCATTTAATCTCTCATTATTTTATTTTATATTCTTCTATTTACTTACATATTTACTTTCTCTCATCCTCCATTATTTCAAATAAAAATTTTAATTTAGTAATTCTTTTAGTTATACTTTTAAATTTCTATTAACAATATTAATAATTTTAATAATATTTAATTTTATTTATTTAATTTTTTCTTTATTTTTGAGTATACTAACAATTATTGTCATATTTGTTATACCATTATAGCATAGCACTTTTACTGTTATACTTCTAATTCACTTATTATTTTTTCTTTGTTTATAATTGTTGAGCTTATTATTTTTTTAATAAAGGCTATTTAAAAAAACCCAGCACAGTGGGGTCGCGGCATAGTGGGGATGTTGCATAGTTGGGTCCAGTATAGATTTAATCTGACAGTGATTAAAATCACTATCATAAGAAACGCTTCGATGCAAATCAGTAGATAGTGTTTAATTCTAAGAAATTGGTGGATAATTACAAAAGCTACATTATCTGCTAGTTTCTTATTAATACCCTGATTAAGATAAAGTATGTCGAATGAAAAAGGGATTATTAAAAAATATTATTTCTCATAAAAAAATTGTGTTGATTCGTACACTTTTCAATGAGTTATAGCATTATAAAGTTAAAAATGTAACCAACCCAACCCAACATCAACTCCTATTTCCTTAATTATATCCAGATTAGTAATTATTTTAATTATATATTATATAATTTTTATAATTAATTATTTTCAAATTATTATTGATTTTTAATATGTTAAAAGTAATCATTTTGAACCTACTTCTTTTTGTTCTTTAAAGTGAAAGTTTTAATAAAAAAAAAATGAATTTATTACCATAACTTTTAACTCAACTTGCAAGTTTGAAATAAATATTATTAAATAGAAAAAAAT